TGGGATCCCAGAGCCGCAGCTTCCTTGGCCTTGAACTCCTTCTCCCTCTGCAGGCGGTACTGTTCAATTTCAGCCTGGGCTTCTTTCTTGACCTGCTTCAACCTCCGGTTCTTTTGCTTGCGGGCCTCAGACACCTTCTCGGCGGCCCGTTTCTCCGCCTGGAGCAGCTGCTGGATGCCCTGCGATTGACTGGCCATGGCTATGGCGACGGCGCCGGCGGAGGCGACTACGAGGCGGCAGACGACGGCCTGCTCAGCCGAATCTCCCCCTCGGGTCTGGAATTTCATTCTTAATGGCTGAGTAATCATTTTATTTGGAGAAGGAAATGGCAACCCACTCCAGTATTCTTGCCTTGAGAATCCCAGGGACGGGGGAGCCTGGTGGGCTGCCGTCTATGGGGTCGCACAGAGTCAGACACCACTGAAGCAACTTAGCAGCAATCATTTTATTGAAGATAAATAAGCATGCATTTCTGCAAATAAAGTACCCTTGTTTCACTCGAGACTTGGGTACCCCCCCCCCCCCGCTCTGTCCTTTTCTTTGCCTTCTTTTCATCGACTCCAGTCCCCAAGTCCCAGTCTGTCAAGACCATAACAGATAAGGAAGATAGAAGTGTTCCTCTGTATTCCCCCTTTTTAAATTTTTTTGTTTGTAGTTTCAGTGTGTGATGTGCTCTTTCAACTCTGCCCTGTGCTTGTGGATTATAAGGAATATCTGTAATATGTTTAATAGAAAATAATTATAAAAAATGTTTGAATTGCCTAGAAATATAGGTAGGGCCATTGTCTGTTTCTATAGAACTAGGTGTTCCCACTATTGTAAAACAAGTTAATAGGTGGGTTATAACCTCCGGGAGGTGTGACCAATATAAAAGAAGAATTTGTATCAATGGAGATATGTAAGAAGGAAGAGCGAGAATGTTCAGGGCAATGAGTTACATCCGTTTGCCATAGTTCATTGGGTTGTAATCCTCCAGGATTGATACTTTGTTCAATGGGTCGAAGATGTGGGGCCCTACAAGTAGAGTAATTATTAATGATTTCTTTAGCATGTTGCTATGGAATTTTCCAAATTTGATGTAATGAATCAGTATTATTTTGTAATAGAGCATGTTGCTCTTCAGGAGTAGCTAAAGAGACAAGTTTATCAGCTTGTTCATTGCCATGAGCCATAGGGCCAGGAAGACAAGAATGTGTTTGAATATGGGTAATATAAATGGGGGAAGTGTGATTCTTCATAATAGATTGTAATTCAAGAAAAAGTTGTTGGATAATAGATTGATTAGAATTTATGGTCGAAGTTTCTATATTTCTTAATACAAAAACTGAATATAAGGAGTCAGAAACTATATTAATAGGATGAAAATGTAGGTGAATAACCTGAATGAGAGCATATAATTCGTTTTGTTGAGCAGAGTGAAATTTAGTATAAAAGACATTCTATTCTTTGAGAGACCAGAATGAGGCTTTGGTATTTTTAGTCCCATCTATATAGAAAACATCCATTTGAGGTATAGGTTGTGATGCGACAATGTGAGAGAAAATAAATTCAGTATTTTTGGAGAAATTCCAGAGTTTGTTAGAAGAATAATGAAATGAAATTTCTCCAAAATATTCCAGAAAAGCTATTTGGAAATCGGTAAAAGTTTGAATTGAGATTGAGATTAGAATTGGCATGATCTCGGGTCACATCATGAAACCACATTAATCCACTGAAGATATATTTTTCTGGTTTAAGAAGAGCTTTTATCAAAATTTGCCAATCATAAGGAATAAAATTTTGAATAGAAGATGCCATAGCATTTAGAAGTTCTTTAGTAAAGGTGAATGAGGGCCGTACATAGTTACAGCCTTTTTCATCTGTTGTGTGTGAGAAAAATCAGTGCCTTCATATTGAGGTATTAGTTGCCCTTGAGCATAAACATTTCCTAACACAGGAAAGGCAAAAAGATGATCAGCCTCAGAGACTCGAGATTGCAAAGCCAGTAAATCAGAAAGGCTTCATCGTGAAGGAGAATGAGTGGATCATCTGTTTTCATAAATATGAGTGTGTGTTAGGGGCTTATCGTTGTCATCAAAAAAAGTATTGTTGGCTTTAGTGTCAAAGAGAGCATCAGAAGAATCATCATCAGATTAATTTTGTCCTCTAATTGAGGGGACCTTCAGTTTCGTGCCTGTTACAAGAGGAGGAAGAGGATGCTTGGGACAGCCAGAGCAGGGATGGTGGGAACATTTTGAAACATTTTATGTTGCTCTAATTGGGCCTTCTGTAAGGTCTTGTCATCTAATTTATATTCATATAATGAGCATTCTGCTTGTTGACAAATATCAGGGGGACTAGAATTGCCTTGGCAAGATGATGGCTTTAATGAGGGCCCACAAGGGCCAGAAATTTATTGGAATATTTTCTCCCCGTCTTGTGGCTTGTTCAAAATTTTCTTTAACATAGTTCCAAATTTCTAAATGGAAACTGCCTTCATCGGGGAACCAGGGATTCTATTTAACCACTGTTTGGAAACACGCCTCTATCCGTTGACGTGAAACCAAAAGTCCTTGATCCTTAAATAAATGATGAAGTAAAGTAGAGAAGTGGTGGGGCTTTCCAGCTGTTTGTCCTATAATCCCACACTTACCGACCTCCGTAGGTCCTAACAGTCACTCCGTCCGCTTGTCAACGGCGTTCACCAGGTCCCTGTTCTGGTGCCACTTGTCATGGTCTTTGTAGACTGGGACCTCAGGACTGGAGTCGATGAGAAGGATGCAGGGGACCCAAGTCTCGAGTGAAACAAGGGTGCTTTATTTGCAGAAATGCATGTTTATATAACTTCATACAAGGCAGCTTTAGGCAGTAAAAAAATTGAGCAAAAACAAAGCCAAGCAAATAACAATCTTCAAAGGACCAGAAAGCATTCCATATCCTAAGTAAGAGGGGCACAACTGAATAGATTACCTTTAAGTAAAAGGTCACTGAAGGGAGTCACTGGAAACAATCCAAGCAGGTGCCCTTTCTCATGATCTCAGTCCTGAGAACTGTGTGCAGCTCTGCTCTTTTCCTGTTTTCCAGGAGCTGAAAAGGAATAGAGAGTCGTGAGAAACGGCACACAAAAGAAGAAAATAACATATTGGACCCCTTAAAGTTGAACGTCCCCTGACACAGAGCAATTATTTTGAGCATCAAATTTGATCAGAACCAGGATAATATGTGTATGTGTGTGAATCACACTTAACAGCTGTCATTACCATTTGCTACTGTTATATTCAAAGAACTACATTCTGAATGTATCAAGGTTTCCTGTTTCCATGAATAAAATATAAACACTTGTGTCCTAACCCCGGATGAATTGTGTTTATTCCATGAACACAGTTTTATCTCACTTCAGTACTTTATAACAGCAGCTAACAAGGCACCATTAGGCTCTCAGGTTTAAATAAATCTAGAACAATTTCTTGTTACCATGGAATCAAACAACATAAAATTTGGGGGTTACATAGTCATAATTTGTAACTAAAGTTACTCTCTCTACACTCTATACCAGAACATTCATATGACTGTAATCCAAATAGCACAGCAGTGCATTTTAGACCAACTTCCAGTAATGTGCAGAAATTGCATCAGATAAAGGTCTAATTTGCTTTATTTTTATTTTTGGCTATGCTGGGTCTTTGTTGCTGCATGTAAGCTTTCTCTAGTTGCTATGGGTGTTGGCTTTTTTTGTTGGGAAGCACAGCCTGTAGGAGTGAGGGCTCAGTAGTTGCAGCTCACAGGCTCTAAAGCATGGACTCAGTAGCTGCAGCACATGCTGTTAATGGCATGTGGGATCTTCTCAGACCAAGGATGGAACCTGTATCCTCTGCATTCACAGGCGGATTCTTAACCACTGAACTATTGGGGAAGTCTCTAATAGCTTTATTGAATGATTGATGCATTGGGCATCAATGGGTAAATGTGTAAATGGGTGCTCCAAGAAGCCTGGCACAGTGGACAGTCTCAGGATGTTGAGGGTATTTTCATGTGCATTTTGATTGTTTATCTATTACAGATTTTTGGCTTATCCTTACTATGAAGTTTTTATTTAGATATGGGCTCTTGGTGTTTCTTAGACTTGGGTGACTGTTTCCTTTACCAGATTAGAGTGGTTTCAGCTGTTTTCTCCTCCTGAGATCTTTCCTATATTCTTCTGGGTCTCCTACAGGGCAAATATTAGTGACTTGTTGTCCCAGAGGTCTTTTAAAATGTCCTCCTTTTATCCTTTTTTATTCTGTTCAGTAGTGGTGATTTTCAGTACTTTCTTCTAGCTCACTGATGTGTTTTCTGCCTCACTTAGCCTGTTCTGATTCATTTTAGTTTCTGGGTTTTTTTTTTTTTTTTATTTCATTTACTCTATTCTTCAGTTCTGTTGGTTGGTTGTTATATTTTCTAAGTCTTCATTAAATACTTCTTATTTCTCAGGTTGTGCATTTTTCTCCCAGGTTCTTTGATCATGTTTACTATCATTACTTTGAACTCTTTCAGGTAGATTGTCTATCTCCACATTACTTAGTTCTTCTGGGGTTTTGTCTTGTTCCTCCCTCTGTGACATATTCCTGTGTCACCTCGTTTTGTGTAAATTTCTATTTGTATTGTAATCTGTCTGGTAGTGTGGTTACGTTTCTTGACCTTGGAGAAGTAGCCCTCTGCAGGTGATATCCCAGGCACCCTTCTCCCGATCCAAGGGCCAGAGGACATCTGATCCCAGGGTGGTGTTCCACGCGTATTTGCGGACTCAGTTTGCAAGTTGTGGGACTCCACTTTTCTTGCTTTTGGTGTCTGCCCCCTGATGTGAAGAGCCAACTCATTGGAAATGACCCTGATGCTGGGAAAGATTGAGGACAGGAAGAGAAAGGGGCAACAGAGGACTAGAGGGTTGGATGACATCACTGATTCAATGCATATGAGTTTGAGCAAACTCCAGGAGATGGTGAAAGACAGGGAAGCCTGGCATGCTGCAGTCCATGGGGTTTCAGAGAGTCAGACATGACTGAGCGACTGACCAACAACCCTGCTGGGTGAGGCTGGTCTGGAGGCTTGTGCCTGCACAGTGGTGGTTAGAACTGGGTTTTGACCCTTTTGTGGGTAAAGTCACGTCGAAAGGCATGTGTACATGAAGGCTTTGGACAGCCTGTCTGCTGATGGTTAGGGCTGCATCTTGGCCCTTTCATCATTTGGCCTTAGGGGGCCCATTGCTGTAGCCTACAGGTTCTGAGTGGAGCCAGTGTTGGGCCAAGATGGAGACCTCATGCAGATGAGTGCTGTCTCATAGTTCTGCCCTCAGGATCTGTGTCCCCACAGTGAGCCACAGCCCACCCCCCACCCCTCAGAGATCCTTCAAGACCAGCAGGCAGGTCTCACCATCCAGGATCCTAGCAAACAGTTGTATTTTGACCTTCATCTCAGCTTCATCTCAGTGTGCATGAGGCTTCATTTGCACCTGTTAAGAGTGAAGTCTCTTGTTTTCCCCATTCCTGTGGGGCTCCTGCAGTCAGGGCCCACTGGTCTTCAGAAGTAAATGTTAAAGATTTCTTTGGCCTTATTCATTGATTCGTGGGTTGGCCAGCATCCCACCTGGTAAATAAACAGGTGCTCCTAGAAGCTGTCTGTCCTCTTTACACCAAGGTGTATATGAATCAGTGGGTTGTTTTTAAACTTTCGTGACCTGAATATGCTCATAAGTGCCATGATGTGTACAAAGTAGGTGCAGCATAAACATGAAGAAGCTGAGTTTCTTTCGGAGTGGGGTTTACTTCCATGAAAAAGCTGAAATGGCAAAATGGTGAAATGAAATGCTTAATTTGGGAGTTGGCTGTGCTCAGGTGCTTGAAAGTGAAGTGAGTAGAGTTGAACAAGCACACAATGGAGGGAATGAGTATGGATTTCAATTGTATTTTGTAACAGGGAAATAGTCTCCAGTGCCAAATGCCTGCAAGCCATCCTGCCATTTCTCAGTGTTGTGTTCACATTCAGAGCCCGAAGATCTTGCCGAGAAAGTGAGATGTGTTCTTTGTTCCCAACCGGAAATACTTTCCTTGATAACTGATGTCAAATTGTACTCAAATTCACTTTTATTTCACAATTTGAGAGTCCCTGTTTTAATGCTTTCTGCATGCTATCTTTTTGACTTTGAACTCCAAAATAAGTACTGATGTTCTTTCTCGTTTCCCAGATGAAGGAACTTTAATGGAACAAAAATCACCCCATCCCAGGAAGTGACTGAATTGGAGCTTGAATCCACGTCTCACCTCAAAGATCTCTTCACCATGTTGCTACACTGTGGCCCAGGTTGTTGGCATGGCTACAGTAATTCTTGTTGCAGTTGACAGGGCCGAGGTGCAGGCAGGCACAAAGCGTGGGAAAAGTCAGCTTGTCGCAGTTGTATTTCTGGGGGAACAGCTGAGGGGAGGCTCCCTGAGGTGGCACCTCAGGCAGCAGACCAAGTGCAGGTGGACTCTCTGCATATAGTAATTCTGAGAGAGTAGGGCTATTCACCAGCTCTGTGCCCACAACAGTCAAATGCTGCTGGTCAGTTAGGATAACCTCAGTGTATTAACAAAGATCTGTTGGAAGAACTTAAAAGAAAAACCTGAACAAAACTGTTTGGCCAGTCCACTATATATCTGTGTCCAGTGGGCTGCCTCCCAGAAGAAAAAGACAAGGAATAAACATTTCATTAATGTATTTAGACTTTTTTTTAAAAGACACAATTCTGTTGCATAGTTTAGCCTGTAGAATAGTGAAAATGTAACTTTTATATGCACTATGTATGTGTGCTAAGGTGCTTCAGTCATGCCTGACTCTTTGTGACCCTATGGACGGTAGCCCCCAGGCTCCTCTGTCCATGGGATTCTGCAGGCAAAAATACTGGAGTGAATTGCCATGCAGTCCTCCAGGGTATGGTGCTGACCTAGGGATCAAACCGTTCTTTACCACTAGCGCCACCATGACCCAGTAATAAGTGCCTTCTTGTTGTGGTAGTCTGGAAACAAACCCACAATATCTCCAGACCATGTCTTTAGTTTTATTTCATCGGTCAGTGTTGCCAATGAATGTTTAAATAAGATGTAGGTATACTGGTTACAATATAATCCTAGAAGAGAGATTATCCAAGGTGAAGTTGTATTTGTTTAGGCAAGAGTGGTTCATTATGATTGATAGAGAAGACACATTTCTTTTTAGCCAAGAACAAGTGTAAATTGGTGCCAACTACTGAAATAATTGGACAAGATTGTGGTTGCCGAGGTTTAGAAGAGAAACATGAGTAAGGGATAAAGTACTTTAGTGTAACAATAGTTTATTATCTATTAGAAATCACATCATTATTAATGGAGGACTAAAAGAGAAACTCTTGGCAGAGCTCCATTAGCCTTTGCCCTGCTTCATTCTGTTCTCCACGGCCAAGTTTGCCTGTTACTCCAGGTGTTTCTTGACTTCCTACTTTTGCATTCCAGTCCCCTATAATGAAAAGGACATCTTCTTTGGGGTGTTAGTTCTAGAAGGTCTTGTAGGTCTTCATAGGACTGTTCATCTTCAGCTTCTTTAGCATTACTGGTTGGGGCCTAGACTTGGATTACCATGATATTGAGTGGTTTGCTTTGGAAACGAACAGAGATTATTCTGTTGTTTTTGAGATGGCATCCAAGTACTTACTGCATTTTGGACTCTTTTGTTGACTATGATGGGTACTCCATTTATTCTAAGGGATTCCTGCCCACAGTAGTAGATATAATGGTCATCTGAGTTAAATTCACCCATTCCAGTCCGTCTTAGTTTGCTGATTTCTAAAATGTCATTCACTCTTGCCATCTCCTGTTTGACCACCTCCAATTTGCCTTGATTCATGGACCTAACATTCCAGGTTCCTAGGCAATATTGCTCTTTACAGCATTGAACCTTGCTTCTATCACCAGTCCCATCCACAACTGGGTGTTGTTTTTTCTTTGGCTCCATCCCTTCATTCTTTGTGGAGTTATTTCTCCACTGATCTCCAGTAGCATATTGGGCACCTACCGACCTGGGGAGTTCATCTTTCAGTGTCCTATCTTTTAGCCTTTTCATACTGTTCATGGGGTTCTCAAGTCTGGACTACTGAAGTAGTTTTCCATTCCCTTCTCCAGTGGACCACATTCTTTCTGACCTCTCCACCATGGCCCATCCGTCTTGGGTGGCCCCACATGGCCTGGCTTAGTTTCATTGAGTTAGACAAGGCTGTGGTCTGTGTGATCACATTGGCTAGTTGTCTGTGATTGTGGTTTCAGTCTGTCTGCCCTCTGATGCCCTCTTTCAGTGCCTACCATCTTACTTGGGTTTCTCTTGCCTTGGACGTGTGGTATTGCTTCACAGCTACTCCAGCAAAGCGCAGCCACTGCTCCTTACCTTGGACGTGGGGTAGCTCCTCTCGGTCGTGCTTGTTAAAGGCCATAAAAAACAAGCTGAATTCTCAGTTAGTGGTACCTTATGTGTGGCGTTTTCAGATCCAGTCAGTGATAAAACTGTTTAGCTTGCGAAGTCAACAAGAGAGTTCCAGAAAAACATCTATTTCTGTTTTATTGACTATCCCAAAGCCCTTTACTGTGTGGATCACAATAAACTGTGGAAAATTCTGAAAGAGATGGGAATACCAGACCACCTGACTTGCCTCTTGAGAAACCTGTATGCAGGTCAGGAAGCAACAGTTAGAATTGGACATGGAACAACAGACTGTTTCCAAATAGGAAAAGGAGTACGTCAAGGCTGTATATTGTCACCCTGCTTATTTAACTTACATGCAGAGTACATTATGAGAAATGCTGGGCTGGAAGAAGCACAAGCTGGAATCAAGATTACTGGGAGAAATATCAATAACCTGAGGTATGCAGCTGACACCACCCTTATGGCAGAAAGTGAAGAAGAACTAAAGAGCCTCTTGAAAGTGAAAGAGGAGAGTGAAAAAGTTGGCTTAAAGCTCGACATTCAGAAGACTAAGATCATGGCATCCAGTCCCATCACTTCATGGGGAAACAGTGGAAACTGGAAACACTGGCTGACTTTATTTTTCTTGGCTCCAAAATCACTGCAGATGGTGATTGCAGCCATGAAATTAAAAAACACTTTTTCTTTGGAAGGAAAGTTAACGACCAACCTAGACAGCATATTAAAAAGCAGATACGTTACTTTGTCAACAAAGGTCCGTCTAGTCAAGGCTATGGTTTTTCCAGTAGTCATGTATGGCTGTGAGAGTATAAAGAAAGCTGAGTGCCGAAGGATTGATGCTGTTGCACTGTGGTGTTGGAGAAGACTCTTGAGAGTCCCTTGGACTGCAAGGAGATCCAAACAGTCCATCCTAAAGGAGATCAGTCCTGGGTGTTCATTGGAGGGACTGATGTTGAAGCTGAAACTCCAATCCTTTGGCCTCCTGATGTGAAAAGCTGACTCATTAGAAAAGACCCTGATGTTGGAAAAGATTGAGGGCAGGAGGAGAAGGGGACAACAGAGGATGAGATGGTTGGATGGCATCATTGACTAGATGGACATGGGTTTGGGTAGACTCCGGGAATTGATGATGGACAGGGAGGCCTGGCGTGCTTCGGTTCATGGGGTCGCAAAGAGTCGGACACAACTGAATGACTGAACTGAACTGAACAGCAAAGAACTATCCAGAAAATGAGGTTTACTAGATACAGACCTCCATTAACAAACTGGGATTTAACATTCGTTGGAACTTCTTTTTCTCCCTAAAAATCACCATCATTTTTACCAAATATAACCAAATTAAGACTTGTGATATAGGTTCAGTCTCAATAAACTTGGCCTGATGATTTATATAACCATAATTGATTATAGACTTTTTTGCTTTGTTGAGAGTTTTTTAAAAATTTATTTACTTTTTAATTGAAGGATAATTGCTTTACAGAATTTTGTTATTTTCTGTTAAACCTCAACGTGAATTGCTGAGAATTGTATACAGTCTCAGACTGAACTTTTAAAATAAATCTTTTAGGGCTAGGAAAGTCAAACCACAGGCTTATCACAGATTTATGTGAATTCCTCCCATCTCAAGGTCTCCAAAAGTTCCTTGAGATTTTTGTACCTGTTAGTGAGATAACCCTCCTAGCCTCCCTGATAAAGTTGCTGGAAACTAAGAGTTTCCAATCTCTGAAGGGTTCAGATAGAGAGAAAAGATAAATGTTTCAATTTGTTTATAAAAGATAATTTTACCAAATTACTGTCATAATTAGTTTCACGGGAAAGTTTTTTTTCTTACACCTGGACAACACATATTCAAACCAATAATTTTTCAGATACAAGCCATAACAGTTATAAGCATATTCGCCAGTTCTTTCAGTCCTTCATCAGGGTTTTCATTAGAATCCTTACCCAGTTCAGAAACTGGTATTTATCTGAAAGTCCCTTCTATAAATCTTCTTGAAGTGCAAGTATTTTTGCGAAGCTTGATTAGTGCAATGACAATATTTTGAGATAGTAATTAGAATTATGCCTGATAACATTTTACCCAAACATCAGAATTTTAGTAACACCATGTAGTTTCTACAATATCTATATTAGTAACATTTATGACACAATATAACCCAAGACTTATTACTCACTTGACAATACTTCCCATGTAATTCTGTATAGAAAATGAGCCTAATTAGTGTAATATCTCTCTTTGGGGTGTCTCAGGGGCCCTCTGAAGCATCCCAAAGTTACCTAGAAATCAAGTTATTCATTACAATGATCTAGGAAGTTTTGTCAACAAATATCAAAAAGGTTTGGAACACTCAGTCAGATAAGATTATAGGTCATTGTGAAACAACCAGTTCAGTTAAATTCAGTTGCTCAGTCGTGTCCAACTCTTTATGACTCAATGAACCACAGCATGGCAGGCCTCCCTGTCTATCACCAACTCCTGGAGTTTACCCAAACTCATGTCAATTGAGTCGGTGATGCGATCCAACCATCTCATCCTCTGTTGTCCTCTTCTCCTCCTGCCCTCAATCTTTCCCAGCATGAGGGTCTTTTCAAATGAGTCAGCTCTAGCTATTCACATAGCCAAAGTAACAATAAAAGATTTCAGAACACATCATTTAAGAGATAAAAAAAACTTAAATCTTTTATCAAAGGCAGTTCACCATCTGAAGAAAAGGTATCATCTTAACAGACAGAAAAGCTAAACTCAACTTTTACAACAGGCAGAAAACAGATTCAAAGCTAAATAAATTTTACTTTATTTAAAAGGCAAACAATTAAATTTATTTTACACTTATTTTAAACCATGTACAAAATTCTCTTCTCATGATTCACTTTTCAGAAACCCTATCACTCTTCGTACCCATTACTTTGTTCTTGCCTCCTAAAAAGCCACCTGTAAGTCAGGCTTACTTCCTTTTTCCTTCACAAAATGCAATTCCGCTCCTCATGCCTTCTTTACCAAAAACACACTTCCAACTTTCCTTAAGCAACAAAGAATTGACTTTTTTTTTTTTTTGGCAAGTTGGTCCATTTTTATTTTTTTATTATTTATTTATTTATTTATTTTTTTCATTTATTTGTATTAGTTGGAGGCTAATTANTTTTTTTCCATTTATTTTTATTAGTTGGAGGCTAATTACTTTACATCATTGCAGTGGTTTTTGTCATACATTGAAATGAATTAGCCATGGATTTACATGTATTCCCCATCCCGGTCCCCCCTCCCACCT